CCCCAAAACCCCAAAACCCCAAAACCCCAAAACCCCAAAACCCCGAAAAATTTGTAGCGAACATCAATAGGTGATTCATACTATTAATGCATTTAATCAAATATAAAAGTGCTTATTATAAATCATTTAGAGGATAAAACAGATCAGAGAAAATAATTCATTCAAGCTTAGAGGAATCACTAATATCCTTCTTGCTTTCCTCCTCATCTTAATCTGAATCCTCCAGCAGATCATCACATTCCTCCTTCTTTATTTGCTATTGAACTTAAGCCCAGTTGATTGCGCATTATTCTTCAGCTCCTTCTTACTTTTTGCATACGTAAACATAATGAACCTAAATTTTAATCTATCAAATCTTTATCTATTACTGCATCTTATGATTTCTTGCCTTCCGGAGCAATTTCAAAAGTTGAAACAGTAAATTTCAAATGAGGTCTCTTGTAATGCAAGACTCTATTCTCTGGAGTTCCATAAGATATACTCATATAAGAGCCATCAACACATAATGTCCTTTAACATTCCTAATTAAATCAATAAGTGAATCCAAATTTATAATTGGCATACTTTCATCATCAAAGCAGTATTTAGAAAAGCTGATTCACCACACAACAGGGCGTCAATTGTCGATTTATCAATGATCAAATCAAAATAATTGGTCTAGAATTTCATATCTCTCACGTCCATTACCTCCCCTAGGTAAGTTAAATAAGTGAATTTCAACTATTTATATTTTACATTTTAACTCAGGCCTATTGATGGCATTCCTCTTCGCCATTTACTCAATGACAACATGTGAAATGTCGATATTATAGATATTCTTATACCCTTTATCATACATTTCCTCTGGCAATATAGAATTTCCACAGCCTAAATTAAGTATCCTTAAATTCTCTCGCCAAGTCAGATCGGTCTCTGAATAATCCTGTCTTTTCTGAAATATGTCGTCTAATAGTGGTTCTATTGCTTCATAATCTTCGAGCCTAAATTTTGATTAAGATATTGGGATAAATATTATACCAATCAAATATTGTCCCCTCTTGCTCCTTGTAGCGTTAATCCCAGTATTAAGGGTCTCCGTAATTTGGCATTTTATTTAATCTAATATTATTTAATTTATATTATCTGTTATCTAGCATTATGGGGTTTTGGGGTTTTGGGGTTTTGGGGAGATCGGAAGAGCGTCGT